AACTCTTCTTGTTCTACCATATTGATTAGGATAAAACGCTGCTCCTGAATATCCTTATTCTTCTTTTTCCTCTGTTCTGGCATAACTGAGGCCATGAATTTTCCTCACTGAATGCAGTTATTTAATTGTTGTGTCAGAAAAAACAGCAACAGTTAGGCATATTCCATTAATGGTGGAAATAAAAAGAAATGCAGAAATAAAATTGTATTTTCCCATTTACAGGTCTTGAAAGACCCACCCCCTCCTCCAGGGGTATTATATCCAGTATATCAAAATATCCATCCCAACCATCTCCCCATGAGTTAGGGAAATACCTCTGATTGGGGCATGCCAGATACATGTGGAAGAAGGATGCATACGAAAAAATGAAACAAAAAAATCCAGCAACTTTAAACTCTGTAAAAAGGCTGGATAAATCTTGGTGGGGCAAAACATTGGTTTAACTCCTACATTTGCAAACAAATCGAGGTTGGATCAATAGCTGCTTTAATTTGCCGACAGTGCTTTGTGGCTCAGGCCTCTTTCTAACCCCAAGTCTGTCGCTCGAGGCTTTGCGAGACGCCGGCACGTTGTCTTGCTCTGCAAGCGGCTCTGCTCTGACCCCAGCGTTGCTTTCAGCGTCACTTAGTGCGCAGGAAGGGCCCTGAGCTCACGGTGCCTCTGTCTGACCGCGCGCTCGCCCTCCTGCGCTCCCAGGGGACGACTGTGTCGGCGCTGACTGCATGGGGCAAGGGAAGAGACATCAAATAACGGAAAACTTTGTGTTGGGGAAGAAAAGATGTGAAACTAGGAGAATCTGACTCTTTCACAGACTGCCCTCAATGTGTTTGCAACCAGCCCTGGTTCAAATTGAGCATTTTCACTTGACTTACAAACCCCGTTTCAGGTCCTGGCCGTGACGCTTCCCTAGCTTGTAGGTGTCTGTGTTAATGCCATTATAGGACATGTCAACTTTGAAGTATTTTTGTTAAATACACAAGTAGAGCTTTGTATTTAACGAAGTGTGAATTAATGTTTGTAGAGTGTGAAATACCATTTTAAAGTTGCTTCTATCGTTCGTAATTTTTCCTGCAAAATAGCTTTCCTGGAAAGGACTACTACTCCACCACCCACGAGCTTCTCCATGTATTGTTTTATGCTTTAGTGATGTTCTATCTTGTCTTTCATCTTAACTCTAAAGCCTACTACTTGTACTGTAAGAATGTAACACCTCCGTGACAAGTTTAATGGCTGCTTGTACTCTGGCAGTAAAGCTATAATGGCCTTTCATTAGATTTTATTATTATTCCTAATTGTTTTTTCTTCACCCTTTTCTCCCAGGTATTTCTGGACAGAGTATTATACAAACTGCTTCATGTCTAAATAGTGGGCCTGCTACACCCAATATTACATGTGTCTTAACTGCCAAAGGGGTGTCTCTGAAGACCTGCAGGCGTGCAGTGTGTTTCTAAAGCTGGCCCATGTTCCATGAATGTAAACTCAGTTGAAGCAATATAGAGTAATATCCTTTACTTCAAACCACTCCGCTGGAGGAGGGGGAAAAAAAGGGGAGAGGGGAAAAAAAAACCAAACTGTAAAACTTAGTATCAGGGAAGCTGAATTGTTCTTGAACAGGAAGATTTAAACTCAGTTCTCAAACCCTGCTTTACTATGCTGCTTCAGCCCCTTCTCATGGGAAGCTTCTAGGAAGCCAGGTGGTTACCAGGAAGCAGAAAGCAATTACTAGATTTCTTCATTTCCAGGTCCTAGGGCCCTAACAGGCATTCATGAACCAACCCCACGATTGTGGCCCTCAGGAGCTCAGGCTGCCCGTGGCTCCCAGCACCCTGCACTGCCCTTCACAAGCTGAGCAAGAGCCAGGAACAGTTCAGCGTGCGGGGACCACTGCAGCTACTCGGCCTTGGCGCTGGTCTTCGACTTACCAGGGCACGCAGGCTTTGATTAGATGACTGAAGCAATGTCTTTCTTAATTTTTTTTAAAAAAGGGCTCTGAAGCAAAGTCTTGAGGGTTTAGCAAAAGGAATTTTGCTTTTTATTATAACTCTTCTTGGAATACAGTATCATTTGTGCTTCTGAACTCTGACCAGACATATATTAAAAAAAAGTCCTTGGACTCCTCAGGTAAACCCCTGGTCTACAATAACTGCAGCTCAATGATGTGATGGAGAAGGCAGGTAAGATAGCATTTTACTTAAAAATTATTTCCACAGGAAATGATTTGAATTACATTTTTCACGAAATTAGTTCATTCCCCAACTGGTTACATAGGCTACATTTAATTAAAACTAGCCACACAGGTACTTCCTTTCTATTGCACTTAGGTTGAAGTCCATCACAAGAAAGTCTCTTGCAGCCCAAGAGGATGGATGAGCTTAAGGTGATCATAAATGCACATAAGATGTCTGTAGCAATCGGATAAAAATTAACCCTTCAAAAGCTGAAATAGACTGAAACGAGACAAACTGCTTCAGAGAGAGAAGCGTGTTCCGAAGCTCGGCCTGCAGGAAGCGGAGCCGCCGCCGCAGTCAAGGTTTGGGTGCTGGAGGCTGTGTGCAGTCCTGGGCGCCGGCCGCAGCAGGAGGGGTGGCCGGGTAGTCCCTGGGCGCGGGTGCAGCTGAGTCCCTGGGGGGAGCTGGGGGGTAGTCCCTGGAGCCAGGCGGAGGCAGCCGCGGGCCCAGGGGGTGCTCCCGGGGGTGCTCCCTGGGGCCGTGCGGGGGGACGGGAGGGGGCCCGCGTCCATACGCCCTGGGGTCCGGCGGCGGCAGAGGGCCCGGAGGGAGATCTCTCATTCCAAAGGGGGGACCGGGCAAGAAGTCTCGTACGGCCGGAGGTGGCAAGGGAGGACCACGAACTAGAAGGAAAGGAAGACATTGGGTTACTGGAACTTTTGTTCCAATCTAGGCATATTAAGCTCCCAACTTGTTCCTCATTTTGCAGTTTGCTGGAGTACCTCTGGGCTGGGTCACTATCACCTGCAGACTTCATCGGTCATGAATTATATTATACTGCCTCTTGGCAGCAGGTTTCCAGATTAGACTTAACCCGGAGAAACAGCTAGAAATGAAGGAGGCTTGAGAAAACCCTTGTGCAGACGTGCTGGGCAAGACTGCACACCCTTGGGAAGGGCAAGGGTGCTGCGTGCCAAGAGCAGAAGGGGCAGCGCTGCAGGGGACTTGGGCACGCGCAGAGGGAGAGCAGCTTCAGCACCAGGCAGGGCAACTGTACCTAGGGGCCCAGGAAGAGGCCGGGGTCCAAAGTGTCCGCGGAGAGGAGCCGGTGGAGGTCCGTATCGAACTGGTGCCGGAGGTGGAGGTCCCATCACAGGGGAAGTCATGATAGGTGTCCCAGGGAAAGACGGGGGACCTTTCGGACCCATAGTAGCCTGTGCAAGATTAGGTTAATTCTTTAGCATGGCTTGCTGCATCAGAGAAATAGTGACAGTGCTGAACACCACGATCACTCACCCCAGTGGCAAGAGATGGAAGACAAAAAATGTATTAACCAAGTGGGAAATAGGAAGAGTCACTGCACCTTCATGGCCACTTTGCACAGAACAGTGCTCGCACTGCCAGGGAGTGAATACTTGGAGCACCTTCCAGGAGGACAGTTTTAGAACAGCACTTAGCTCCCTTTAAAGTGCCCTTGACACCCCACTTTGGGCTTCAGCACGTAAAATAGCCAGCAACCCTCCCAAGGTAATGGGCCTGGCTCTTACAGATGGAATAGTGCTTAAATACCACCGGTATTTAAGGTTCTCAGGATTACTGTTGCAGTCACTCTAAAGTGAAGTGTTTGTCTGCGGTCCTTAACACCAAAGATCCCATTTTCTCAGTTCCATGAAAACAAGACAGCAACTCTTGATCATTACAGAGATCTCTTGAGACAGGGGTATAAGCCCTTGATTAGTTTTGCAGAGCATTTTGTTATTTAGCAGTTCAGAACACCAAGCCTGTTACTCCTCTCCACCAAAGCGGAATGACACCATATTCAGCTTCTGAGTACTCACTGTAGCTGCTTCAATGGATGAAGATGAATCTGTAGTTACACAGGGGCCTTCAGACTCTTTGGGAGAGGGCTGCTTATATATATATATATTTTTTTTTTTTTTGACGGCAAATAAGGATAGTGAGGGGATATAGACAAGACAGAACATGATACAATTAAAGCAGCAGCAGAAGTAAAAAAAAAAAAAAAAAAAAAAAAAAAAGTGTACTAGAAATGCTTCCTGGAGTATATTTATCCAGCTTACCGCTCCATCCATTCCCGCAGAAGGGGAGGAGGTCCTTGGCGCAGTACTGATCAGGGATGCTACCGCAGGCCCCAGGTCTGTAAGGAGAGCCGCAGTCACCTGCCTTGCCCTTCTTTGGGCAGAAGGTTTCTCAAAGCACAACCCTGAAGTGAAGGGGCAGCCGCTGAGCTGCAGTTGGCTGCAACTTGGCCACGTGACTTACCAGGAACGGACATTCTTCCGGACAGCTCTGGGGGTCTCCGTGGAACAGGGGGGCCATCTACCACTGCACCTTGAGGGAAACAAAAACACCACAGAGCCGAATCAACACATGCCTGAGCTATTTCTATTAAAAAGATAGTAACAATAATAAAAAAGATGTTTAGAATAAAGCAGGCTTCAGTACATACACTACCCCTGGAATCAGACTACAACTTGGCATTCTTGGGATTTTAGCATGAGAAATACTTGTGACAGAAAGGAAGCTTCACCACTTACCAAATTCACCTCTTGATCCTTCCCTTCGAGGAGCAGAAAGGGGACGACCAGGAACTTCAATCATCTGCGTGGGGGAAGGATTTCCTCCACTCACAGGTGATGGGCCATAAGAGCCATCTCGGCTTAAGGGCCCTGCACGAGAATAACAACATTTGATTTGCTTCTCTAAATGCATTCAAAACCCAAAGTTTTGGGGAAAAACAGCAGCATTTACCTCTTCGTGGAGGGATTTGACGATCAGGTCTTCCTGGAGTTGGCTTGACAATTAATGGTCTTTGAAGCATGACAATTTTTTGGTTCACTTCTATTAATCTAATAATAATTTAAAAAAATTCAAATAATATATGCAAGTTGTTACGATGCAACACTATCTGAAGCAAGCCACGTTGTGAAACATAAAGAGTTTTTCAGCAAGAAAATGCATCTACACCATTAAAACAGTTTAACTAGTTTAAAATAGTAACTCGTATGTACATGGTATATTCCAAGCTAAGGAACACTTGCACAGTTCCAGCTTCTTCTCTCCTAAGCAGCCCAGAGCATGTTCAAAGAGCAACAAATGATCTGTCCTGTACTTACTTCTGCCTCAGGTTGGCTGCTTCTCTCTTTTCCTCAGCCAAAGCTCTCTCAGCAGCGCGGGCAATAAGCTATCGGGGAAAATATTGCCAACTGCATTACTGCACCAACATGGAGCTAAATGCAAAGTGTTTGCTTTATATGGTCAGAAAAAGAACAGTCTTACCCAATTGTCATGTGCCTTTTTCTCATGAGCAGCAATCTGAAAAGAAAGTTAAGTTTAATAGCTTTGTTTTTCAAAAAATTCGTATCACCAACAGCTCGCTACAGAGCATTAGGATGAAGTAAACTGTGACACAGTAACAAGGAAGCAGGAAATTCACCTGATTTTTGTAAGATCTCTCTGTTTTCTGCAATTCTTCTTCCATATCTTGAATCCTTTGCCTGCCAAGAAAGAGAAAAGGGGGAAAAGGGGCTTAAATGAATTTTCTTTGGCAGCTGAAATCAAGGAAAACAGTCTTCAGCAACTGAAGTTACTTGTAAACTTTCACTTCTTCAATGGCCAGCACTGCTTTTTCATCTGCAGCAGACAATTTCTGTTCCTTCTCCTGGCGCTCATACTCTTCCTGCGTCAGTTTTCTATATGGGGGAAGAAAACGAAAAGTGTGCATGTATGAGTGTGTATACATATACACAGGTATATGCACATATAGACACAAAGCCTTTTTAATCCTGTGGTTCATTAATACTTGCCTTTTTGACATTTTATCCAGTAGCATTTAAAAGGCCAGTACTGTGTTTGTGTGTCCCAGTAGCTAACCAATAAAAATGGAGCCCTTAAACTAATATGCTAATTATTGCTAATTAACAGTTTGACACTATCCACTTCCTTAACTACACATGGAAACAATTTTCCATAAGAAATTTGCAAGAAGTCCTTCATTCAAATCAAGAGGTAGCAAAAGACAATATACCTTCCTAAAAGTTTTGGAAGGAACATAAGTCCTTAGGTTATGAGGTCAAGAGGGAGTTTTTCATGCAAGGTGGGTTTATCTGTCACCTCCCTATTTTGTGTTTACTATACTGGGATGCTGAGTAACAAGATCAGTCAGCTGCACTTTTGAGCCTCGCTGCCTTTGTTAGTCCATGTGCTTCAGCTCAACATACACTTGAGCCTTAGAGCTTGACTGCTTCTGTTGTCACTTCTGAACAAGATATCAGACCAACTACAGAGTTTGCAGACCAAGCTACCCAGACAAAAGTCTCATTTCACCCATTTCCCTCCAAAAATAGTTTATATGCTAGAGAAAATATTGTAAGTGAAAAAAGTGAGGTTTTGAGAACCTGTGGAATGGGAGGAAAGTAAAAAACTGGGGGCTAGCTTCAACTCTGCTGAAACAGCAGCCATCACCTCTGATTCAATACAACTTGTCACTGACACCCACCAAGCAAAGAGCCCTTGAGCAGCTGTGCCATGCAAGAGGCTCTCGCAGGAGAGCAAGGAAACACTCACTTCTGCAGCGCCATCTCTTTCTGCTGGTAAAGCTCACTGAGAATCTCCACTTTCTGCTGCAAAGTTTTGCATTCGTTTTCCAGCCGAGCTTTGGCAGACTGCAGCGAACAGGAGTCGTGTTCCAACTTCTTTATTTGCTCTGTTGGAGAAACACGGGTAGGTGAGGAAGCTGAAGGGAGCTGCTGTGAGAACCACTATGTCACTTACGTGCCCTAGTGTTTCTTTTTAAATGGCAGAATTTTACAGTAAGCAATTGTTTTGCTGAGGCTACCTTCCAGCTCATGCCTTGCTGTTACTTCATCACTCAGTTTGGACCGCAAAAGATCTCTATCTTCTTCTACTATGGACAACATAGTTTTTACCTGAAAAGGGGGAGCAAGAAATGTTTTATCACAGATACAGCAGTGATGGGGGTGTATTAATTAGATATCTTGTGCCGCATACCCTTGAGACATCCATCATCTGCTTAATCTGAGTCTTCATCTTTTCGGTCTCATTATCTAAGGAAAAAGGAAAAAAAAAAGTTTAGTTTCCCCCTCCATTTCTTAACCCCAAATTCCTGGAATCAAAATATGTTAAAAGACCATTTTCTACTTTTTAAACTTGGATAGGTTGTTTTACATGTTGAAAGAAAGCGAGGAGTGCCCCAGTGGGACTAAGTAGTAATTATGTGATATTGCAATTCAGCAACCAGCACAACAGAACTAGAATATTTATTCAAAAAGGTGTTCATAAACTTATTTTTATGGTCACCCCTTCTAGCCACCATACTAATATTAATATGGATGTAGTATCTGCTATTGAAAACAGCATTTGAAAAATCAAGAATTGGGAATTTCCAGCCCAGATGATATAACATCAAAAGAGAAAAAATAATCTTCAAAAACAGAGATACAGTAATTGTAAATAACAGCAAAGTTTCTATCCTTCCTAAATAGTTTTGAAAGCTTCTATTTAAGTCTTTCAGACTTAAAGAAATGTGATTATTAAACTTGATACATATGCTAAAGTTCCCACAATACTTGTACAAAAAACTAAACGTAGCATAATAACAAAGCTGAGATTCTCATATTTTGCAGTGGTCTTAACTGCTAATCTTAATGCCCTTTGTTTTATACTTATATATAAGTGCCATCACACTTGCAACACACCTGAACACTGTTTAAAAAGCAACTATAGGCCTTTTAGCCATTTTTTCTTGAAATCGGAAGGTATTTTGTTTGAGGATTTAACCTATCAGTCTCAACTCACAAGCAGCTACCTGCATGGATTCTCCCTGCTCCCCATGACACACATCATGAACATACCACCTTTATTATATACTTTATCTACTCTATGCATTTCATAGCCAAGAGCCTGGATTCACCAGCTGTACCTGGTAGCTCCCCGTTGGCCAGGTCGTCTCCCCGAGGCCATTCGTGCCCTTCCCCATCCTTGGTCACCTCCGAGGCAGGAGCGATGTCAAGCTGCTTCAGCTGCATAATGCAGTTTGTTAAAACCTAACAAAGAAATCAAAGGATCACTCAAGAACTGCTCTGCGTTCTGTAAAGTACTCTGCACTGTTCTACAGTGTGCAATATACAAAGCTTGTTTACAAGAACTTACTTCAATTTCATTTTCCTTGTAGGCAAGTGCTTCTTCTATGTCTTTCTGAGACTTCTGATACAATTTAATTTGTTCACTGAGCTCACTGTGTCTCTCACTCCAACCTTCAGCTTCTTTCAGTAGCTGTAAGAACCAAGGCAAGATTATTTTTTTGTCTGTGTTTTAAATTCGGGATAGAGGAAATTATTCTACTACCAGCTCTGGTGGTAACTGATTACCAAAGGACACAGAAAAAGGGTAAGCTTCACAACTATCACATTCATCACTAGCCTACTAGTGAAATTGGATGTTGAAAATATTTCTGCAATTTTTATTACTAGGCACTTCTACAAATCTGATGTTTTTTGTTTGATAATCCAATATTAGAACCAAACTGTGTGCATGCTTCAAAAGCAACAGCAATTAACTGCAATCCAGCAGCAATCAAACCATGTTCCTTAAAATGACTATTACTTCATACACAGAGAAAGAGAACAGACACATGTGCAATTAATCTGCAGAAAGACAGCCAAAACAGTTCAAAGCTAAGGGGCCTGTCTATCTATTGAAGCTTCAGAACCACTTCTTGGCAATTCTTTAGTGTGACTTCCTTCAGTCTTATCCCCAAACAGCATCTCCTGATCATAGGAACCATCACATCAATACAGAGTTTTATGAAGTTGCTGATTAAAAACTGAATCACTGGAATTTGCGAAGCCATCATCATAATGGAAACACATGGTTCGTTTGTGCACGCGCGCACACACACACACACACAACCACTTCTTGGCAATTCTTTAGTGTAACTGTTAAAGCAAGTGGTTTAAGTTTTATCATAATACTATAAAATATGAAATTCTGATCTGTAAGGAACAGAGGAGAAGGACTCAGACTGAAGTCATACTCGAATAAAACTTGAAAACACACCCGAACATTTCATTCCAAGCAGAAACAAAGTTGCCTGGCCTGGGAATACCTTACCTGTTCTTTGCTCTTTTTCAACCTAGCATTCTCTTCCTGCACATGATGAAGCTCAGATTTCACCTTTTCTTCACTTAGCTTAGCTTCATTTAGGGCAATCTGCACCTATGTATTAAACAAAAATCAACAAAAAAAGAGAAAGTCAGACTGCAGTGAAGTAAGAGCTATATATTACTGAGTAACATATACAGATATACGTGCACAACACAACCTGGAACCTGGTAAGCTAGCAGCTGCTATTAGACCTTGGACCTGAGTTTTCCCAGTACAAGAACTTATACCCATTAATGAAAAGATGTAGGAAATGCTTTACCTCCGAAAGCTCTACAGAATGCACACTGATAACTTCTTGAAGTTTTTCCAAGGACTTCTGGGCTTCAGAGATCTATGTAAGAAAGATGAGCAGTGACTTTGCATTAGCGCAGCACATACCTTAGCATGAGTATGTTACTATTTTACCTGGGTATTTTGAAAGCCTAATAAGAAATTCAAAGCACCAAACAATCCCTATTTGGAACAACAGCTGGATTAAGAGCACTACATGCTGCCTTATCAGCAAGGCAGAACATAAAAGCAAACTGGAGGTTGGAATCAAGTTCCCCTGTGCCTCAGCCTGCCTGTGGCTGGGAAAGTTCCATGTGCATCTGCACAGTCTAGAATGAAAGTGCCACGTGCTGCTGTCATTAGCAATAACCTTTGATCAAAACAACCCCACAGCACTTGTTGGAACTTACCATTATTAGAACAAAACAGGGGGAATGGAAGACCAACGGACAAGAAGAGGGGCAGCTCAGAGTCCCACTCTTACTACAGAACTAGGTGCTTCTTCTCAGCAAAAGAAAATTCCTCATAACAAACTCAGAACCACAGTCCATATTTTTAAGGAACTTCCTGGCTTTGGTAGGAAGTACTAGACCAGCCCAAGACTGGAGAACATCTACTTGCATGTGAAGGCACGCAATCATAGAAATTCATAAACATCTTACAGAATTTGCATAAATTTCAGTTCGTTCCAAGTTCAAGGAGGCAGTTCATTACAGTTCTTCTGAAGTGGTTCATCTTGTTTGCTCCACCTCTACCTGTTCACCCATCAGAGCAGGCAGCTTTAAGGCGCATAAGTTAAGGGCTATGCAAGACATTAATGTGATTGCTCTCACCTTGTTCTGTTTCTTTTCATTTTGTTTTCTCTCTGTTTCAAGCATTGTGTGCAGGCTTTTTACTTTGTCATCCAGCAGACGATTTGCTTCTTCCAGCCCTTTAACAGTATCCTAAAAATAAAGGACACATGACTGACTCAAGAAAGTTATTTTATTAATGTCCACTTTCCACACAAGAATGAACTGCATGTTACCTTAAGCTCTGCAGCTTCATCTGAGAACACGTCTTTTTGTTCTTGGGCAACTTTCACGGATTCCTTTGCTTCCTTTATCTAAGTACAAAAACAAACAGAACTGAGAAAACTATCTATGTAATATCAATGTAAGAACAGAAAACTATAAGATTTAAGCTGCTGTATTGACCGTCATTAAGCCAAACATCGGAAACTGAAAAGCAGGACAAGTGCACAGAACGATACCTTCTTATCATACTCTGATATCTTTTCTAGGATTTCTGTTTTTTCTTGTAGAAGGTTTTTAATCTTTTCAGCAAGTTGCTTCTCAGTCACTAGGAAGAAAAAAAAAAAGTTTGCAGTAATTCTGGAAACAAAAAAATCAGAGCTATTATTACTACCACTTTAGGGAACATTTTCAAATAGGGACAAAAGAACAAATTAGGATACTGTCAGTTCCCTGGCAGCCATCCCCTTCCTCAGAAGTTTAAGCATCTTGAGCTTTCATTTAAAGCTAAGACTCAGAACAACTTAAGACAGTTAAGCAGCAAAGACTGACACAAAGCCTTCAGCTCTTGCATTTGCTTCACTGAGTGCACAGCCGAGCAGCCCGGGGTGCTTACGATACCCACATATGACTTCTGTTCAAGGGAAGAACTGCCACTGAGTATGTAAGCGCACCCACAGAAACCCACTGAGATGCCAACACCTTCCAAACAAACAATTTCTGCTGTACTGAAACCAAAACCATGGTCAGCAAGGAACAGGACAAAAGCTTTCAAAGATCTACTGTGAACAGAAGGATGCTGCCAGCTAGCAGATGGCAACAGAAAGCCTCAAAGAGCTGCACACTTCTTCAGCGGACACTATTTCTGGATTTTACAAAGGGCTGCAATCAAGCAGCAGTTTTCTAGGGCATGTGTGTGCTTCCCAATCTGAACAGCTTGCCAAGCAATCTGTAGAGTCCAATGCTTGATAAACTTTACATTAACATATTTACTTTTTTGCATATTAATTTAGAAGAAGCATCCAATTGTTACTCTTTTTCAAGTCCTAAACTGCCCCCATATTTGACTGTCACAGGCCTCATCTGCCTCACAACTAATCCTACAGCTCAAACAACAGGGAGCACTGGTTGTTCCAATTGCATCCTACAGGTTGTAACTGCAACTGCTACTCCTCCTTCCTCCCCGACATGAGTTTTTGTACTGCAGGATCCCTATCCCTTTCTGCTCTGCTGAGAGGAGAGGCAACAAACAACTGCTGAGAGATAAAAGATTGTTCTCAGCAGTTTAAACGAAGATCTGTGCAGAACACTTTGATTTTATATATTTGAAACTGGAGAAATGCTCTTGTGAAAAGCTGTGTGCTACCCACAAGAATGTTTTTATGTTTTCAGAGGTCTCTTTGCAAATCGCACAGTAGTCAGTATCAGGCTCCTCTCATCAGAAAAGGCAAGAAGTATTAAATACCACTTCTGCAAGAAGTTTCACCAGTAGTCAGAAAATCAAAACAAACTCTGTTCCACTACCACCTTCGTGGTCAAGAACCACATGCCAGTTTCACAGGGTGGAGCTTTTCTTTGTCCTTATCTTTAATTTGCAGAAGTGGGTTGCATCACTTCTCATTGGCCAAACACACCCCACATTCACAGTTTCAAATGAACTGGGCCTTCTAAAGGCCTTACATTTAACCTTACATTTAACATTCTCCTAGGAAAGGAGGGAAGATTAACACTTGGCCCTCAGAAAAATCCACAGAATTTTTATACGCATAAACATAAGCATCAAGTCCACTGCAAAGTAGGAACTCACCTTGATACATTCTACTCTTTACCTACAGAAGAAAAAAAAAGGGGGGGAGGGGGGAGAAAAAAAAAGCAGTTAGCTGTAAAGTGATAACTGGAAATATTTATTTTTCCTACCAGAAACATACATGGACGTATGGAAAGTTTCGTACACCCATTACTGCCAACAAGAGTGTTGAATAACACCACATGAACAAGCTTAAGCAGTTTTCTAATAAAAGCTTCTAGGTTAATGCCCTATCTTTGGACCTGCGTAAAGGTCTCATTACTCTGGTATTAAAAGGACACAAATAATGGAACACATCCAAGTTGCCATAAAGAAAATTAAATCATTTTTAATCAGGCAATAATCATGAACTTTCAAACATAAAAGATACTTGCACCCCACTTCTGATTGACCATATAAGGTGAATGAAAGGTATCATCTGCATGACCCTGCTAATTTCAAAAAAAAAAACACCATTAAAGAAATGCAGAAGCTGTTTTTCCTTCTGCTATATACTAACAGTATTTTGCATTTGAAACTGATCCCATTCATTAAATATCAAATTTAGAGCAATAAGAACACACCAGTGTTGTTTCAGATTAATATTTAGTTTTAATATATTTTTATAAAGCAAAAAAAAGTATTCCACAGATTTCAAGTGTGTATCATTAATGAACTTGACAGCTGAAAGTAAACTTTTATTTTCCTCCCATATATCCATTTCCGAAGAGATATACTGATTATTTGAGAGGTGGTGTTTTTCTCAAACAGAAAGTTATTTGTGTAGTGAAAAAGGGAACAAGTGCAAACTGAGAAATAGATTAGGGAAAAGGCTCTACCGTCAGACCAAAAATCATCTTTTTATGTGTCCAGATGTGGCATTTGCAGTTAAAAGCAACCGATCGACACGTGGCAAGACAGTTAACTGCTTTGTTTTGGAGACTGTTAGCAACAATGTCAGGCACGTGGAAGGGATCTCATCTCACAGAGATACTGGCCCTTTTTCAGCCTCCTGGGTTTACACCACACTCCCATATTTTGTCTTGGGAACTGCCTCTTATTAAATCTTCAATTAACAGGTAAAGGGAATGCTTTTTTTTTTTTACTGAATAAAATAATTTCAGCTATTGCTTTAACATTAGTAGTGATGAAATAGCTCAGATCATACCAACCCATACCAAAAAAAAAACAAGAATGCACACTCAGTGGGTTAAGTATCAGCAGTATTGCAAGCACGAGGTGTACTCACTGAAAGGCAGGTTCTCCAGAAGATTATAGCAAGTGTGGCAACTCCCACTAAGGCGGTGATGATGATAGGCTCCCATGGAAGCCCGTGGAAATCAGGCCCAGGACGGATATCCTCAGGCAGGGTAGCAATCAACTAAAACCCAACAATATTGACAACTATGAATACGTTTTCATTAAATACTCGTGTAAAAATGTGTAGCCTGAGAAATGCTCTTCTTGCTCTGATAAAATCAGATAACCATCTAGAGCATCCCTGGCTCAGTTTCAGAATGCAGTAAAAACGCGTTAAGAAAGTGTAGAAATAGGGCGGCTTTTCTATAATCTGAAAATCAAAACCAAAGCAAACCGTGAAGCAGTGTGATGCTTGCATTACTACTCAAAAGTCTGAATATCTGAAAGACACCTGCCAGTAACAATCTGCAGGCAAAAAAACAAGCTCTTATGTCAAAACAAACTGATGCACACGTTTGTGCCTTCAGAAGGTACTAGCTGTTATGGGATCCATTTCAAAATAAAATTCTAAGGATAGAAAAATATAGAAAGAACAGTTTCACACTGGCACATTGAAAATAATCCAGTGAAAAGCACTAAACTATCTTCCCAAGTTTTATACTCATAAGTCTCTAAGGACCATAAACCACTGACTGGCTGAACAAGGTGCACGCAGCTGATGTAGTCCACAACACCGATATGGAAATGGCTCTTGGCAACAAACCATAGCATAAGTCTCAGAAACTGCTCCCTCCTCCTGGCTCAAAATTTACAGGAGCCTGCAAAACATTAAGCTTGGACACCCCCCGTGCCAAACCTGGGGCTGTCAAGCCTCGGATAGGGCCCTTATCGTGGCAAACACCCTCACCTCCGAAGCAAAGTGCCAGGGTGCGACACGCTGCCACGTTTACAATGTCTGCAGCCGCAGACGCCTCCGCGCGCTCGGGATTTACAGCTGCGAGCGGGGGTGCCTCCCCCCCCGGCACCCCCTGCCCCGGG